TCTCCTCTTTCTTCTACTTTTGTCCCCAGCACTCAGTGACCACCTGATATATATGTACATATCATGTGTGTGTATATACTTTTAAAAAATGTATTGTAGTTGGCTTATTGTCCCCTCCCCTACTAGGATATCAGTTTCTGGAAATACGGGCTTTGTTTTCTACTATATTCCAGTGACTGGAACAGTGCCTAGCACATAGTAGGTACTCATGCATGCTGAACAAATGAATGAACAGATGTAAATTCTCTTATTTCTTTGTGGTGTTTATTTTTTAAAAACTGAAGTATAATAAAAGTATTATTCAATCATTTAATGAAATAGTATGGTTTTATATTTTTCACATATTTTTGTTCTTTCTTGTTCACCCATACCCCCTAAAATATGATGCACCCATTAGTGAATAATATTGATACAATTTCTAGGGGGGACATTTCCCAATTGAGTGGTGATGGTATAGACCAATAGCAGTGGAAATCAAGTCATGGGTTTTATAACTTTTAAGAACCTCAGCGAATGGACCATCCTGATGGCTCAAATGCCAACAAACACAGCTGGATGCAATGCAGTACAATCAGAAAAGCTACAGTCTAATGTGAGCAGTGAGTGACTTGGGTTTCAGCAGAGGGGTTCTTTTGAAATGACCCATCCAACCAGTTGGGAGACCTTTCAGACAGCAGGACTGAATGTGGCAGTCAGGAATCCTACTGGGAGTGAAGGCATGGCTCCCAGCCACTCCCTACTCAGTGTGATTGAGAAATACGACATCCAGCCCCACAATGTACTTGATGACAATGTTGCTTTTTGCGCCACAGTTTGGGATTTCATCACGTCAGTGGCAAGTCAGCTGGTGATGGTGAAACCGCCAGTTCTCAATGTACAGAGACTCACCTTATATAGATGTTCTGAAGCTGAATCAAAGCTCCTATAAGGATCTGATGGCCTCCCACTTAAATATGCCAGAGAAGAGTATGCATAGTAATTTATTAAAATCGCTACACTAGGAATATGGAAGTGAATTCTAATAATTTAATTGAAATAATAACTGAGAGTTCAACTTTCGTGGGGTGGGTGGGTAGTAATCTGATTAAATTTATACTTTATATGCAATCAATCCCAGTTAATACAGAAATTATAACAAGCCAAACCATAATCAGAGGGTTGAAAAAGAGTTCAAATGATGACTTTTATGAAACTCATTCCTGGGAAGGGTCATTTGGATAGACTTATGAAAGGTTTCTACTATCTTCTCCTTTTTCCTCTCCTGAAATGTATGTTACATAAATTTAAATGCAGAACTCAACTTTATATTTGAAAATTATCCTTGTTGATTCCTGAAGGTATTAGTAAAAACCAACCAATCAAACAATCAAACTAAGCCAAACCAAACTCCCTGGGTTTTCATGGCAGAAGGAACGTAGGTTCAAGTCCAAGTTTTGTTAATTACTGGCTATGGGATACTTAACCTCTCTGGTTAAGCCAGTCACTTAACTTCTCTGAAGCTTAGCTTCCTCATCAGTTAAAAAGGGATTATTCACATTTACATATCCAAACAGTTCTGAGGATCAAATGAGATAATATGAAAAAGTTTTGAAAGTTGCTTTTCAAGTGTAAGGATTGTAACTGATTTCTTATAAGAAGTGGGTACCTCTTTCCAAAAAGGAACTGAGACAGCTTATGATATATTTATATAATACCATAGTATAAGTAGAAAATAAAGGTAGAAAAATAAAACAACTCATTATTACAGTCTTTATCGTTGTCTGGAACTGGCCACAAATTTGGCTCTAAATTCCTAGTAGATAAATCAGAGATAAATATTCAGTTACAATAGTCATGAGTCTATCAGACAAAAAAAAATTAACTTTTTTTTTTTGCACTTATTCTACTGGGGTACCTATGGAGAGGGAGAGGGATTGTGGTATGCTTAGGCATGCAAAGCCATAGGATAAACCATCTTGTGATTCAATTTTACTTGAGTAAGTTAAAACCGTTTTACATTAAATTAAAGGTATATCATTTATTTAAAATTTTAGATATAGTAGTATATACTATACTATACATATATATATATATATATAAATATATATATATATCCACTAGGAACTGGGATCCAATGGGACAAAAGGTCCTTGATCTCATGTAGTTTACATTCTAGACCAGAGCAATGGTTTACAACTGGATCAGAACCAATACCCTTTTTACTTTGTTTGCTAAAATGAAATTCACAGATAATCAACTTACACATAATTAAAACTTAACGTCCTTTTACATAAAGGTGAAATAAAAAGGAAGTAATTTATAATAGAGCAATATTCATTTGAAAATGTAAATAAATACCGAAGCATGACTACACCTAAAGATATCATGAAATGAGCAGGTATTTATATTGGCACCTACTTATAAAAATAAATTTGAATTAAACAGAAGTAAAGGACTAAATAAGTATATTGCATCAATATGCACCATAGCTATGATACATATACATACATACATACATATATATATATATATATATATATATATATATATATATCAGGTCGTCACTGAGTGCTGGGGACAAAAGTAGAAGAAAGAGAAAGAGAGTTGTGGGGGGCTTCCATTTTGGCTCAGGTGGCTAAATGTCACGTCTCTGATGAAGTGACATTTTAGGAGACAATCTGTATGAAATAAAGGTGATGGAATAACATCCCATGTGAAAGCCTGAGGTGGACACATGCTTGCCATGTCCGGGAACATGGGAAGAGGCCAGTGCTTGCTGGAGCAGAATGAGTATGGAGAAGACGGGCTTGGAGACAGAGAGGAGAAGGGCTTTTGAGGCTACATTATGGGCCATGGGATTTGGAGTTTACTCTGAGTTAGATATAACCATTATGAGGGTAGCATGCCACAGATATGTGTCTTAAACACCACAAACCATTGTGGTGTTGCCATTAAAACACCACAAACTATGCTGCTATTCCTGACAAGCTTTTCTGACATGGCAAGCAACTTTTCCTAAAACAAAACAGAATACTATTCCTGGAAACTTCAGTGTGTATTAAAACTGGCTGAAAACATTTTTAATTTAAATGTAAAAGAGAGTTAGGCCCTCAGCTCAGATCATTACAAAACAGTTTTTCACTTACCTGATTGCCCAGTGGGACACTAAATGGCATGCAGAACATGGGGCAGTTCATTGTGCAGCCTGCAAATGCCAAAAATACTCCCTGAAGATAGGACCTCTTTATTTGATAACCATGATTGTGGAACCAGAAGACAAAAATTAAATAATTTAGATACAGATAAATGCTATGAAGGAAAGAAAACAGTGCAAGAGTGGGATGAGGGAGTGAGACTTCTCTGTATCAGGAAGGTCAGGGAAGACTTTTTCAGGTTGGCAGCATTTGAACTGAGACCCGAATGGTGAGATGGGGACAGCCTTGCAAAGAGCTGGGGCAAGACATTTCTGACAGGGGAACAGTCCAAAGGTGGCGAGGTGGGAACACAGTATGTTTAAGGAACAGAAGGAAGACCATTGTGGTTGGAGCTAGGTCAGACAGGTAGAAAGCACAGGCTTTTTAGGGCACAGAGAAATTTCCGGATTATTTTTATGCAAATGCTGAAAGACTGATAATCAGTAGCCCAGTTTAAACTACATTCTCAAAGACTGTCTTTGTGGTCTCTGATCATTTGAAGATCTGCCTTTATAGTAAAAGGAACTATCTTGTCCATGGCTCATGATGGACTCTTAGGAAAATGCTCAGAAAGCACAGCCTGATGTTTTGTGTCAGGTCCCAGTTCCACCAGTGTTGCAGGTCCTGGAGGGACAAAGCTCTGAAATTCCTTGTCTCCTTCTGTCTCTTGTGCCCCGTTGGTATACGTTGTCAAGGACAAGCAGATCTCTTCCTTGGAATTAAGAGGTTCCCCCTCCACACAAAGAAAAAGTTTTAATGAGGATTCACTCACTGGAAGTAAAATGATTATTTTACTGATTATAAAATATGTATCTATCATCCCAGGAATTTTTTGGACTTTCCAAAATGCAGATAAATACATACCTAAACCAGCAAATAAAGGAAGGGTGTTATAAAGATGGGCTAAAGTGGGAATCTAATCTTTTACTCGGCTCTGGATCTTTCAAATGTCTCATCCTGAGTACCCACTGAGGTGATCAGATTTGACTTTTAACTCTAGTCCTAGGTATTGCGTGGTGACCTCATTTGTCCCTGTGGAAAAATTGCACACCAGACCAACCACCAATTCCTAGAGGGAAAATTCTGAGCAGCAAAAAGGACTCACAGCCGTATGGCAAAAGCACTGAAAATTTCAGTCTGATACAACAACATACAGAACTTAAATTCAAGGGAGAGACTACTCTGTCAAAAGAACAAGTAGAAAGCAGAATCGGGGCTTTTCCAGCTCTTCATTTTCTTGCACGCTATCGACACTCCCTGTAGCCAAGTGCTCGTAACTACTTCTAAATTGTCCCTTCATTTGTAGTCTGCCCACTTGTTTCACTTCACTACCCACTTCTCCCAATCTTGGCAGCACCTCCAGGTTCACAGTGCACTTGGAAGGGCGAATAGGGATTTGTCTATCCAGTCCAGCCTAATTTCGGTCACTGAGTTATAGTCTTTCATGGACGCTTTTGCAGAGACAGCCTATCGTGTGCGGGGTGGACGGGCCGTGGGGAGGAAGTCTAAGGAGGACACCAGCCAGCTACGCCGAAAGCGTGGCGGAGACATCCTCTTACGGTCAGCCCACACCCGCCCCTGGAGGGTGCGCAAGGTGGGACAAGAGTCAGCAGGCCACTTGGTCCAGGACCTTATGCGCCCACAGCTCCCTCCGCCGCAGGAGGTCTGGGAAGAAGTGCAGGCCCGGCCTCCAACCCCGTGGGTCCCGGTGGCCCCGCCCCGCAGTTCCTGTCACGTGCCGCAGAGCCGCCCAATCAGCGCCCGCTGTGCGGAGGCTCGCGATTCAAACTGCGGGGCTGTAGGTTCGCTGAGAACTGAGCTGTCGCGGCCGCAGCGGCCGCTGCGTGCGGACTATGGAGCACCGCATCGTGGGCCCCGGGCCATACCGGGCCACCAAGCTGGTGAGTGAGCCTGCAGGGGCTTGGGCAATGCTGTCGGCTCCGCGATGCCCCCACCTTCCCGCCGACTGCGCCCTGGTCAGTCTTCGCTTCTCCCGGGCAGGCCGGACCGGGTTTGGAGGCGGGACGTGTTCTGGCTGGGGCGGCAGTTTTCTGAACGTTGCTCAAAGAAAAGCTAACCAGGCTGTCGCGGGTGGGCACAGCTCCGTTCCCGAGACCTAGCCTGGGCTCTCGGCAATCAACGCCCCCCCCCCCCCCACGATTTAAAGCTCCCGGAAGACGAGGGTGACCACCCCCCTCCACTCCCTCCAGCCTCTGCCTTCGGTATCCTAGGTCTGCAGCCGGGAGAGAAAAGACCCACCCACATCTTGTAATGCTACCCCTTCACCGCTGTCCGGGCAGGGTGTGTCTCCATCCTGAGTGTCACTTGTGGTGACGCTTGAGGTTCTTTCTAACGGTGCCCAGAACAAAGGTGGATCGACCTAGTCCTGGCCACGTTTCCCGCGCCTTGTGTTTCTGTTTCTGTCAGCACACCCAAATGAGGCGTTGACCTGGTTGGATGGTCAGAAAGAGCCCTTGCATACCCTTCCAGGTTGCTGCCTTTTCTCCTGGGAGAAGAGCTTTGGTGTTCAGTTCTGAGATGGACTTGATTTCTTTATGACCTGGAGCAAGTAGTTTTAGTGATTTCTGTTTCAAAGGATTACCATAATGGAATACGTGGTGACAATTTGGTATGTCCATGGCAGGTTTTTAAAAGACAGCTTTCTATGAAAGCATAATGGTAATTTGGGAGGAAGGGACCTCGCTCCTTGGTCTGTCACCACTTCTGGCCACATATTAACTTGGGGATTAGTATCATTACTCTATGCAGCCTAATGGATATCCAGGAAAAGATGGGAGCTAAGGTCCAAACTCTCATTCGACTATATGTGTATATGTGGAAAAGAGGAGGACAGTGGGACCATGGGAAATATAAATAGAGATTCTTTTTCTTTCTAGAGCCAATTACACTATGGCCAAGCCAGAGCTAAGATGGCCAGCTTCTAGAAGAAGAAATCACGGTTGGGGCAGATGGTTGTTTACTTTTTTATTTGGCTCACAGACCACTTTGAGAATCTGATAAAGATTATCTCCTTTTTACCGAAAAGTGCACATGCCACATCCTTATGAAATTTTACATATGATTTCAGGAGACTTGGGGAGTCTGTGGCGTTGTTTCATTTTACCTTAAACAACTATTGACTTGTTCACGATTCTGTTAGTCAGCAATCTGGGCTGGGCTTATGTCAGGGGTTCTTGGGGTCACTCATGTGCCAAGGTCATCTGGTAACTTGACTAGGACTGGCGGTTTAACATGGCCTCTTGACTTGCATCTGGCTGTTAGCTGGGCCAGGTATCTTCACCTAGAGTCTCATGGTTCCAGCAGAACCAAAAGAAGGTTTCTGCTTGTGACTCTTTGTTTAGATCTCATTGGTCAAAGCAAGTCAAACAGTTAAATCCAGAATAGAAATTTAGCTCCATTTCTTGATGGACGAATGGCAAACTCACATCACAATGGTGCCTATGAATAGGATAGGAGGAATAATTGCATTTATCTTTGAATTACAGACCTTCAGAATTATTCATTCATTTAAAGAAATTCAACAAGTATAAGCTTATGTTTTCCTTTGGGCTAACCTCTAAGAGATAGGGATGGTGGTGGCAGGGAACAAATAGGGTGTTTTAGAAATATTGTTTTCATATCTGCTTCCACTTCACAATTGTCTCTACCATTTGAAACCACCTAGGATCAGGGCTATTGGTAGGTCCAACTTTAGGGATGAGCTAGAGCTTGTGCTTTGTCAGGGACTTTTTAACAACTTTAATCTCCTTTGTGGATGGAAAATAACGCAGCCCTCTTCCCCATTTTTTTCACCTCACTTATTCAAGGGAAACAGAGAGGCTCTGGATCTTGGCAGAACTAGTTCTCATTCTTCCTGTTTTACACTAAAACAATAATAACGTCATAATTGGAAGTGTTTTAAATCTCATATTCACAGAATTATATGCACTCACAGTACCACAGTGGTAATGTAGTCACAGTACCACTTTTCATAGTTGCAGAGTGCAAAGTAGACAACCCAATAGAAAAATGGCTAGTCTCAGATGAAGAAATAAACATGATTAAAGATGGAATTACAAAAATACAGCTAAAACATAGAGATATCATTTCTTGTACATAGATTGACAACAGTGGGAAGAATGATAACATCTTGGGGTGGTCAAAGATAAGGCAGTAGGCTCAGATGTATTTAGTAGGAGTGTGAATTGCTACAACTGATTTAAATATACTGCTATGCTTTAGAAATTGTTCTAGCAAAAGTAAATAAGTAAAAGTGTTGGTACTTTAGATTGTATAAACAAGAATATCCTTTTAAAACAAACTGGAAATAGCTGTATGCCCATCAGTTAGAAAGTGATCGAATGGATTATGGAGCTCATTTATTCGCTAGATCTACAGGTATTGACACAAGAGTATACCCATGGTATGTTAAATGCAAAAGCAAATTGTAGGATAATATGTACAATATGATTGATCTTGTTTTTTTCAAAAGGAAGCAAACAACAATAATAAACACCACACATACATACAAAGGGAAAAGTTCTGTATATATGTATATATGTTTGATAGGTATGTGGGATTGGAGAGAGGGCAGACTCTTGTATATATTTCTGCATTTAATTTGTTACAGTGTGCATTATTTTGTAATTAAAATAACAAGTAGAGGAACTGTTAGCCAACCTGAGAAAATTAATAGACTTTTATTTAATGTTTTATTTATTGAAATTTATTTGTATTTTGAAATATTGGGTCCCAGAGAGCCATGTCTTTATTATTAAGTACTATGGGTTAGGTAAGTTTAGTTGATAATAATTATGGTAATTCAATCAACATAAAATACATGAAAATCTTTTTTATTAACCTTTCTTCCTACTCCACCTCCCAACATATTTGATCAAGACTAAAATGAAAGCTAGGCATCAGCAGAAAATTTTTAAAAATGTTAAAAATACATGGCGCTTGTTTAAAGCTATGATACTGTTCATAGGGACCTGGTATAGTGAAATGATGACTTGGGGTGGAGACCAAAGAACAGGATCCAGGCTAAGTACTTGAGTGACATGTGCCAATTTTCGAGTCTTTCTGGGTCTTGATTTTGCCCTAAAGTTTCTTTCCAGCTCTAGAATAGATTGAATCCCCTAATTTGTTTTAGGAGGTTATCCTGGAAATTTTATA